GTCATCAAACTGGTCAGGCTTGCCCACGTGGTGTTAGGTAGAGGCAGTCTTGGTATTAATTACATGATTTGGGTTTTAAATCATTGCAGTGTTCAATATTCTTATCCACGAGGAACAGAGTAGATTAAAAGAGGGCAGTTTGTTATAAGGATACAGATATTTCATGAAACCCAGGGGTTGGGCAGCTGGGTCTAGACACACAGGAACTGGAAGGCCATTAGTGACACAGACATCCTCATCCTGGTAGTTTTCGTTCCTCTCACTCTGCCAGACCAGTGTCCTCTGTATCTTCACTCTGTAAGCTGAATGTGGCCACTCCAGAGTTCCAGTTCCAGGGACCTGCAAGATTAACTAGCAGTCTTTCAATCCAGAGTTAGATTACCAGGAGAGCCTGTATCTGACTGGCTTTTAGGTTGGTGCAGGCGCCCATCCCTAGTCTGTCAGTGAGATGGGAAACACTGTAGTAAAAACAGGACTTTTGGAGCTTGTCTCCATAAAAGGGGAGGGGAGAGATGGGACACTAGGAGTTCCCTGACAATGAGGACTTGCTGTGATCTAGGCAAGCACCCCCTAAAGATGTCATAGTTAAGAGTATTTTTCTCTAAGGGAAGAGGCTTTTTTTTGTATAGAATAATAGGAAGTCATCAAATATATGTCAATGGCTGGAATTTTTTCTAATGTATATTCAGTCTACATATCCCCAGCATAGGCCAAAGCTTTTGTTTTGTGGCCCTCAGTGGGTTCTGCTATGCACATGATTTCCTCTATATTATATTTTATATTTTGAGAGGGGGACCAGATGTTCTAATGCTCTTCTGTAACAACCGAATTATGTAATGCTCAAGATCATTGCTTCACCTTGTTTTCTACCACATGGCACACTCACCCACCTCGCTGAAACCACACAGTTCTCCCGGGTGCCATGCTCTCTCCTGCAAGTCTTTGCTCTCACATTTTTCCTTTCGTTTGCCTCGTTCTTTATCACTGAAAGCTTACACTACCATCCCCTCATCTAGGAAGCTGCTCCCCGTCCCTTGAGCAAGCTAAGCTAGGCGTCCTTGCCTGTGCTCCTATAACCCCGTATGTGGCACTCACTATGCTGTGATGGACTCATTCATTTCCTGGCTGATCGATTGGCTTCTTTGAGGGGAATATCGCAATGAACCTCCATTACCGGTGCCTCAAAAGGGCCTGCCACATAGTAGGCCCTCAAAAAAAAGGTACAAATGAATAATGAATGAAATGACCCTCAGTTCTGGAGAATCTGGCTTTATATTTTCTTGCCCCTATCAACAGCTCTAGGGTAGAAGTTAAGAGAACAGGCTCTGGCGTTAGATTTCCATTTCCCATCTCTGTTTAGTTTCTGAGCTGTGCAAAATTGAACAAGTTTACTTAAACTTTCTGTGCCTCAGTTTCCTCATCTGTAGATGGTATAATGATAGCACCTACTTCACAGGGTCATTGTGTGGCTTAAATGAGTTAAGTGCTTAAAGTCACACCTAAAAAGTGCTCCATAAATGTAATTATTATCATCAACCATCTACTTCACCACCAAAAACTTTTGTAGATTCGGATGTGTTTCATAAGCAATACGTTCCGCAGGAATGGTTGTTCTTCTAGCTGCCATTGACCCTTAAGACAGATTCACGAGGTCTTTGCCTAGAAGTGCTTCTGTTATGTGTTCTAAGAGGTTAGTAACCTCAGGTACCTGGGAATTGAGGAAAGGGTTAGAAGCTTCACCGGGGATGCTTTCTATAACGAGAGTGTATTTATTATCTTTTGATTGTATTTGCTTTTGACGAATGAGCAAGATTGTTTTGGTGACAGGTAAGGACTTGTTGGTGGAGTGATTAGATGTGTGATTTGCTGGGGTCTCAGCATTCTCAGCCTTGAGGGATTATCTTTGGGAAGGTTGGTGGCCAGAAATCATCCTTTTGAGAGCATGGGGCTGGACAGGATTTTTGTAGAAACTGACAAGTTACTCCTAAAATTTATAGAGAAACTCAAAAGACTTAGAAGAGCAAAAGAAAATTTTAATAAAAGAACAAAGTTGGAGAGTTTCATTTCCCAACTTTGAAACTTGCTATAAAGCTACAGTCAAAACATTTTATACCAGCATAAGGATAGACATAAAAATCAATAGAACAGAACTGAGAGTTCAGAAACAAATCTTTATGTTCAATTGATTTTTGACAAAAGTGCCGAAGCAATTTATTGGATAAAGGATATCCTTTCTAACAAATGTTGCTGGAACAACTAGATATCCACATAGAAAAAGATGAACTTATGTATTTACCTCACACCATAGATAAAAATGAACTCGAAACCAATCATAGACTTAAATGTAAGAGCTAAAACAATAAAAGTTTTAGAAGAAAAATTTGAAAATCCTCAAGACCTCAGGTTGAGCAATAATTTTTTAGATATATGAACAAAAGCACAGTCTATAAAAGCAAAAAAAACTGACAAGTTGGATCTCATCAAAATTAAAAAATATTTTGCACTTGAAAATACAGTATGAAGAAAAAAAGACGAGTAGCAGACTGGGAGAAAATATTTGCAAATCGCATATCTGACAAAGGATTTGTATTGAGAATACATATTCACGTACTTCAATAATAAGACAAAAAATTAAAAATTAAAAAGAAATTTCACCAAAAACGATATACAAATACTCACAGCCACTGGAATGGTTATACAAAACAAGAGAGATGACAAATATGGGTGAAGATGTGCAGAAATGGGAGCCCTCATACATGCTAGTGGGAATGTAAAATAGTGCAACCACTCTGGAAAATAGTTGGGCAGTTTCTTAAGACGTTAAACAGACACTTACATGATCCAGCAATTCTACTCCTAGGTATTTGCCCAAGAGAAGTGAAAAAAAAAGTATGTTCGCACAAAGATTTGCACGCGAATGTTCTTAACAGTTCTATTCGTATAGCCAAAAATTGGAAACAAATGTCCATCGACAGATCAGTGGATAGACAAAACGTAGTGTTTCCACACAATGAAATGTTCCACAGAGAAAAGGGAAGAACGAACTGATACAAGCCGTGACATGGAAAAACCTGAAAATCGTTATACGCAGTGAAAGAAGCCAGACACAAGGCATCATGTATTGTATGATTCCATTTACACGGAATGTCCAGAAAAGGCAGTTCTAGAGAGTAGGCTGACAGTCGCCTGGGGCATTGTGCGGGGTGGGAGATGGGGATTAGCAATGAAGATGAGGGATCTTATTGGGGATGATAGAAATATTCTCCCTGCTTTTCACTTTATGGTGATGCTTACACAACTTGGTAAATTTACTGAAAATCATTGTCCCCTGGAAATGGGGACGATGAGAAAGAAAGCAGGGCTAGCTGGAGCCAGGCCGTTTGGATCTGAAACCTGGCAAGTCTGACCTCTCTTAGCTTCAGTTTCCTGTCAGTAAAGTTGGGGGAAAATAATAAGTTATTAACCACAAAGCAATGTTGTGAAGATTGCAATGATAAAGAGTTTGGACCAGAGAGCTCAATAAACATTAGCCATAATAATAATAGTTTTTATTGGTAGTAATGTTTAACCTGAGGATCCAGTTCTGATTTAAATCAATTTAATCCAAATCTTGGAGAAGGATTTGGACTGAAGCTTGCAGAGGGCATGGCTGGTTGTGTGGGCTTATGCCTCTAGAGGAATCGGAAAGCTCAAAGCTGGAGTTTACCAGTCATGTGGAGGCAGGGAATTAGAGCCCCAGAGCCTCGAGATGGAGGCTGTTTGCTCATGGCAGCATCATTTATGGAGGTATCATCCTGCTGTCCATAACTGTGGAAGCAATATGTGATATTTCATCCCCTGTCCAAAAGAGATGTATGTTACACCGCTGCATGCCAGGTCCTGTGGGACAGAGGACAGGTGATTTGGAGGCCCGCAGGAGGGACACCTAACCCTGTCTGTGAGGGTTTCTAGAGGAAGTGATGTCTCAGGGAGACTTAAGAATCCCTTGAGGTTACCCAGAAGAAGGATGAGGAGAGTTACCCGGTGGAGGGTACAGAGTGAACCCCAAGGGCAATAGATAGAGAGCTGGCTGAATTCAGTGAAGTGACAAGAAGAGCAGAGTGACAAGAAACAAGCCTGGGGCTCCATGGAGGGCTTTGTGTGCCATGATATAGAACTTGCATTTATCCTGAGTTCAGTGAGGACCAGTGAAGAATTTTAAGGTCCAAGACTGGCTAGGATCTCTCCGATTAAATGGTCCCAGTAGCACCTATGTACCTCACCTACAGAAGTCTTGCTCCATTGATTGGGAGCAAATAACTGTCCTCCTGGATTATGGTTGTGGCTTGGGTTTTGCATTTAGCCTTCTCAGGTGCAAGTAATTGTTCCTCCAAAGACCACAACCATCCTAGTGTCTGACTGAAAAACTGTTTTGTGGCTCCCACGAGGGACATAAGAGGCATAATGTGGTGGCTGAGAGCCTGTCTGCAGGGCCAGACCTCAAAAAAGCAGAGAACTCGTAAATGTTTCATATACCCCATCCTGGGTGCCTGCTTGGTCTGAGAGCCTATTAATAAGCCCCAGTGGCTGAGGGGCAGGTATTGTGCTGGTTACTATAGCATCACCTTGGAAAGGATCACTCAGTGAGAGTCACAGCCCAGCTGAGTGAGGCAGGAGGGGGATGTGGTCAGAAGCAGCAGGAGGGGCTGGAGATAGGCCGCAGATGCTGTCGCTGGTCTCAGGGCACCTTGTGGGCTGGAGCCCACTTCAGCTTCTCCAGCTGCAGCCCCAGGGAGGGAGTGAGGCTGCTGTCAGCCTGAAAGTGGCTGCCTGAAGCAGCAACACAAGCTGCTGCTGAGCTTGTAGCTTTTCAAGGGGCTGATTTCCCAGCCAGACCTCCCTTGGCCTCTCTCTCTCTCTCTCTCTCTCTCTCTCTCTCTCTCTTTTTTTTTAGAGGGGGCGGGGGTTGTTGTCTCAACTTGAAAGATCTTGTCTGGGTTTCATCTCCTTTTTGATTTTAAGTAGTTCCCTTCATGAGAACTGACTTCAAGGTGTTCATCAAGGAAAGCAGAGTGGTCCCCATGCTGGAAATGAAAAAGGATGACAGTTTCTGAGACTGACTGTTAACAGCTCGGAGGTGCCCCCCCATTCAAGATGCCTTTTAAAGCATTTGATACCTTCAAAGAAAATATTTTGAAACCTGGAAAGGAAGGAGTGAAGAGCGCCGTGGGAGATTCATTGGGGATTTTACAAAGGTAAAGTTTGAATGCAAACTTTAGGTTTATTTCTGAGTAACTTCACGTTGCCAGTGTTTGAGAGAATTTGCTTAATGCTTTTAAAGTCATCTTTTAATAATAAGAAGGTGGGTCAGATTAGGTGGCTTCTGGAGCCCCTTCCAGGCTATGCCTGGGGGCAGGGGGAAGATGCATCAGAAGTACAGAGTTGAATTAAAAAAAATACCAAGACAAGCATTCTGCTTATACAGGATTACCACTTAACTAGAGATGGTGATATTGTATTATTGTGTGTTTGGCATTGAATTAGAAAAGATTTAGAAAGATAATAGTTCATGTTAATACAATAGGAATGACAAACATGGTTATGCTTTGAGCTGAAAGAATTTTGGAGAATTTTTTACACATTTTTCACTATAAATGAAAATTAGATATTTGCAAATTATTTAGCTTATTACATAAACTATACAAGTAGTTCCTCATTTTGTGGTTTATAAAGAGAAGGGTAGTTACACCATAGTTTGAAGAAGGTAACTTAAAAAATTAGTATTCTTTAAAGCAGAAAATTTTACATGATTACAGTGGGAAAATGTTTAGTACTATTATTGAATTGAATGTTTTTATCCAAACCAAAAAACAAATCTTTTTTTAGAAGTAAAATATGCTTATTTTGGAAGGAGAGTTTGCCGTAAATGAATGAATTGATGTGACATTTTAATTTGTGATTTTTTATAGACATAGTGAAAGCCTCCCTAGGTTTTCCAGATTAGTTAATAACTGGTCCTTATGTACAAGGTAAAATGACTCTCTTAATCTCTCTGGTATAAATAGATGTGGAAAATGTCCTTGATGAGATTTTTATGTGTTCAAACGATTATTTCTAATCATGATGAGTGAAGATGCTACCCGTTATCTTCTTTTAAATTTTCCATGTTATCTCTCAAATTTAAAAACTTCAGCATTTAAATGACTATTTCTAGGCACACTGAGATTCATTCCATTTCTTGTGTTTTGTAACACAGGGGCTCCTGTCAGTGTTACATTTTTTATTGTATCACTCTCGATGAGCTTTTATAGTGAGAGAACTGGGTTGGGCACCTTATTAATTTAGTGATTAAAACCAAAAAGGTTTGAATCAGACCTACAGTGAATTACCATGTATAGATATGAAAACGTAGCTCGGTGAAAGCAGGATAAACCAGCCAAACACAGGACGTGATTACAATAACGTACTCTCTTAAGAGTGTTTTATCCTTCCGCTGAGCTCTCCCTGGGTAACGTCTTATTATGGTGGTGTTCGTTCGATTAAAGATGCAAAAGGAAAGCACAATGGCTTCACTGGCATTTTTAAAGGATGACAAAGGAACCTGACAAAGTCAGGAATAAAAACCATGACTTTAGACCATGGTCACCATGATAATCACCAAATTCTGTGCCTTAGTTTATAAAATACTGGACAAAAAAGTACTTAGAAATTTTCCAACTTTAAATTTCCAACTTAAATTTTGCCTTTTGAAATTTAATTAAAAAAAATAAATAAATAAGAGACTTATCCTAAGAGCCGGTTTTGCTATGTTTGATTGGTTGATCCACTTGAAGGTTCTCTTGTTTACCAGTTGGTTTACTTAGGGATAGAACAAAATTAGTAAAATCCAAGTGATGCAGCCTCAACCCAAAACTGAGCTCGGTATTTAGGACTCTGAGCAGGTTCCTCAGGATTAAATAGTGGAACAATAGAATGGGTAACAGTACTTGAGACAGAGAATGCACTAAATGCATGCTAGGTGTTATCCTTGTCATCACAATTGTAGAATGACTTTAGCAAAAATAAAGCTAAACCCAAACCCCTTCGTTCAATGATTCCTAGAGGTGAATTATTAGCAGAGGAAGGGAAAAAAAAACGGTTAACCGACCAGCGATCTAAGTCGATCCTCAGCTCTGGGGGTCATTGTGCAGAGCTTCAGAATCAGATCTCCTCCAGCGAGACCAGTTCCACCACACACTTGGTGTGAAACCTCAAGTCTACAAGATAATCCTATATACAGTGCCTTGCCCAGAGCCTGGCATGTAATGGACATCCCCCTCTCCCCCTGTTGATGTTTCACATTAAGCAGGTTGACAGAATCCAGTGTGGGAAAAAAGAAAATCACAAAACACCATTTTCTGTTTTGTAAGGGACAAGGACAAGAACATTTGGAAGTTAGAAATCCTAACTTTCTAACCTAGCAAGCAGCGTAAATCATCGATGTCTGATAATGTCTGAGACTGAGATCATCATCTAAACAGAATTCTCAAGGTGCTTTTTCCTCGCAGAGCGAGCGTTCCTGGTGGGAAGGGGCGTGGCAACTGCACAGGGAAGCGTTTGAAGCTCCCACTGGACGCTGATTACAGTCAGGCGTTATTCGACTTCCTTCCAAAGTCATTGATAAAAAGCAGCTGAACAATTGCATGAGCTAAAAATACAATAATAATTTTAGAAGTCTAGAAGGAAAGATGATGCACTCACTTATTGTCCAGTACTGGAACAGATGACATGGAAGGCATTACATTTGGAAATTAATGTCCGGAAATTGATATAAAGATTTGTCCAATTTAAATGACAATATGAGTATCCTCTAATTATTAATGTGTAATAAGTGGTAACGAACATGTTGCTCCATGTACCGTAAACCAGTTTAACCCTGTTAACAACCCTGTGTGGTGAGGCCGATTATAATCACAGTTCTACAGATGAGGAGGCCAAGGGACAGAGAGGTTAAGGAAGTTGCCCAATGTCACACAGCTTGTAAGTGGCAGAGCTGAGTTTTAGATCAGACATTCTCTGCCCGCCATTATTACACTATACTACCTCCCTAATCAAGTGTCTTTGTTCTTCCCACTTTCTGCCTTGAAATTTAACCACACATTTAGGTTTGGGAGTTACTTGGGCTGCAGTGGAGCCAGCAACCTCTGGATCTTAAGGACAATGTGGGCTTTTCTCCTAATCTATTGTATTGAAGACTTTCCCAAAGAGAGATTGAGGGGAAATCTAGTCTCAGAAGTATTTATATCTTCCCTCTGAAGAGATGGAAGCTGTGTTGTGCCCATCATCGGCATTCAGCGACTGTGTGTTGAAACTATGCCAGATGTGTGGGCGCTGTTTGCTCCAACAAAAGCAGATGTGGGAGAGTGGGCTCTGAGATCAGGCGAGCCTGAGATTCCAATCACTACAACAGCACGTACTTTCTGGCTGCACAACCTCAGGCAACTTGTCTCCCGCCCTTGTAGCCAGGGTGATGTTATTAAAATAAAGTCAATCTCATCTCTTCCTTGCTCAAAATTTCCCCACGGTTTTCTACCTCACTCCGAGTTAAAGCCAGTGTCCTTTCAATGGCCCTCAAGGCCCTACGTGATCTGTAGAACCTTGAGAAGTCTCACTGACTCCACCTGTGACATTCTTTTCCTGCCTTACCCCACTCCGGCCCACGCTGCATGCTTATCGGACCCACGCCTGTGCCAGCTTTTGCACCCTGAAAGTTTTTCCCCCAAATAGCCTGGTGGCTCATTCCCTCTCTTTCTTCAAGTCACTTCTCAAAGGTCACCATCCCAGGGCGGACGTTCCTGACCTTCCCATCTCCTTTTACTCATTCCCTATTTTAGGGAAGGTTCCCTAAACGCAGAGACCCAGACAGGGATTTGGATGAGCCTAGGATGTGATTTATTGAGGGGGAGCTCTTCCTGAAAGAATTGGGAAGGAAGAAGTAAAGCAGGATAGGAAAGGAACAAACCAAGCAAGGACGTGATCTCAGGTAATGCAGAGGGGCCAATCACAACGGGAGGCTCTGGGGTGTTACGGGCACTGAGCCGTCCCTTTGAGCCAAGGGGCCAACCTTGTAATTCACTGTTATCAGTCAGTCATTGACTGTGGGATGCCCCAGCAGGGGTGGGGGTTCATAATCGAGGCCACTTAGTACTTGGCAGTTCTCCTCAGAAGGGAGCAGTTGCAAGTTCTTACCAGCTCCAGAAGCGAGCTGGCCTGATGAAAAGGGAGTGCATTACAGTGGCTGTGGCAGCCCACTCATTGTACCACTCAGGTCTCCTTGCTTCTCACATTAAGCTTACTCCATCCAGGTATAGCTGTTCTAAGACTCCGTGGTCATAATTCCTGAGGAAGCTTCAAGAGAAGAGTTGGTGGAATGGGCTCCAGTTCCCACTGCTCTGGCTGGTCCCTCCTCTCCACCCATTCTCAAGTCCCCTCACTTCTGTTGGCTCGACGGGTGCATTGACCTAGACCTTCATGCCTGAGGGGTCTAAATCCCTGGTTAATATATCCTTACCAGGTCGTGGTTGCTGTATTTGAGTTAGACTAGACAAGGCAGCATCAGGAGTTGTCCCAGTGGATCACCTGAGGCCCAAACACATGTCTTCCTGCTCCCATGATGAAGCAACAGTCCTTATCCCTCCTGAATTTCACCATCCCGGTGACTCCTGACCTTACCTTTTGGTCTCGGCATGAGGACTCCAAAGTGACCGGGCAGCAGTCATATATTCAATGGGATTTCTATTTTTTTCCAAAATGGAAGAATTCTTCCTTGGGAGTCAGCACTTCTAGACCCACAGGACCTAAAGTTGAAGAGATGTGACATTCCTCCAGTGGATTTCTAGGAGTGACGGGGAGTGCGGCCCCTCCTACTTCCATTCCTTGTTTTCATAACCGTATTTTACCTATTGGGAACATAGTATCATATCTAACTGTTGGTTTGTGGAATATACTGCCTCCTGAAGGATAGAGCCCTATTATCACAGGGATTCATCTTTAAGCTGCTGCCTCAGCTGCATCTTTAAAATGCTTCCTTAGCTCTGGCAGGTTGCCAGGCTCTGGGTGGTATGGCATATGGTAGGGCCAGTGCATCCCAGTGTCACGTGCCCCTGCTGTACCTCCTTTGTCATAAATCCTGTGTCTTTCACCTTAGGTGATGGTGTGTGGGATCCCATGTTGGCTACTCAGGATTCTATTAATCCTCAGAGAGTGATGCTGCTGG